CGCTGGGGCACGGGCTCGCGGCGCTCGACGTCGGGATCGCCTCTCCCGACGCTTGCAACGAAGGCTCGGACTGCGTGTCCAGCGTGTGCGAGCGCAAGACTGTGTATTACGCCCCGTGCAGCGACGTTTTTGACCGCCAGAACATCTTGTACCAGCCCCTGGTTTGGTCCGCCTGCGGGCGGCCCCGCCCGCGGACGACGTCCACCCTCCGCGCGCTTGCGACCCGCCTTGCCCAGCGGAGGGGATGCTTGGACGGGGCGTGGCGGCGCCGCCGCCTGGCGAGCGCGGCTGTGGCGGCGCTGTGCCGGCGCGCGGCCGCCCGCGTCTGGGCCTGTTGGCCAGGCGGGGGCGCGGACGACTGAGCGCCCCCCTCCCCTCCCCTCCCCTGCCCTGCCCGCTCTGCGCGCGCCGTGCCCCGCCCTGGTTCGCCCTGCCCTTCCCCCTGCTTGCTTGCCCGCTTGCTTGCCGCCCTCTCCCTCTTCGGGGCCCGGAGGCCGCGTGGGTGCATGCGCTGGTGCAGCCGCCTGTTTTCCCCTTCTCCTCCTCCTCCTCCTCCTCCTCCTCCTCCTCCCCCTCTGCGGCCCATGTTCCCGGCATTGTCCGCCGAGGTGGACTGGCATGGCTTGTGCGCGGCCGGCTGCTGTGGAGCGCCGCTCGGCCAGGAAGTTTTGCCTCATCTGTTGTGCACGCGATGCGTGATTTCGCTTGTGTTTAAACAGGTATCGGGGGCTTTGGCGGCACAGTTGGCCCTTCCAGAGGCGTCTTTTTTATGATGGTGCCTGGCATTGGCCAGCGCTCTCGTTTTGCGCATTCTGTTTCGCATTCCCAGTGTTGTCCGGGGCGCATGTCATGGAGGAGGTTCCAATCGTTTCTCTTGATATTCCTCCTCCTCCTTATTCTCCTCCTTTTCTTCCTTGTCCCGTTTCACTGCTTAACCGTGCGCCCTGGCTTCGCAGTAGTTTGGTTTCGCCTTGTCCTGATTTGCGGGGCGGCGCGTGCTGAAGTTCACGAGTGGTGTTTTGGCACGGTTGGGGATTCTTCCATGGTTGTGTTTCAATGCGGAATTTTCTGCCCCCCCAAAAACAAAAAACCGATCCTGGGCACAAGTGGAGTACAATTGGGAACCATTAGACTCTACCAGAAGGCCAAAAGGTCCGCGGAGGAGATGGGCGGATGCTGTGAAGTCTTTCCAGGACGACGGGAAGAGTGAGTTTTCCATCTGCCGGCGCCGAGGCTCCATCGCGCCGTCCACCCTTGGACCGGCCTCCGGGCCGCAGTGGCGTGTCTCTCGCTGTCTCTCTCCCTCCTCTTCCTCCTCCTCCTCCTCTGGACTCCTCCTCCTCCTCCTCCTCCTTCTCCTCCTCTTCCTCCTCCTCCTCATCCTCATCCGTGCTCTTCCTTTAGCTTACGGGCCGTGCCAGGAGTCCCGGCGTGGCCTGCCGCCTACCAGAATCCGATATACGTTCGTTTTTGCCGCTGGCCAGGAAGTGCGCGTGTCTCTCAGCGTGGGCGGGTTTGAGAGCCTCAACGGCCGACAAGGAGCGGGTCCGAGTGCGAGCGAATCGGAGCATGTTTGAGGGCATACTGCGAAGGCCTTGCGGCCAATGTCGCCGACTTCAAAGGGGGGGCGACGACGGCGGCGGCTGCGGCGGCGGCGACGACGAAAACGACGCTGACATTCTTGGGAGCCTGAGGACCGAGTGTCGAGGAACGAAAGGGGGGGGAATGGAGATCGTGGGGGGGTCGGATGTGCCGACGGGTGGTGGTGGGGAGGAGGAGGAGGAGGAGGAGGAGGAGGAGGAGGAGGAGGAGGAGGAGGAGGAGGAGGAGGAGGAGGAGGAGGAGGAGGAGGAGGAGGAGGAGGAGGAGGAGGAGGAGGAAGAGGAAGAAGAGGAGGATTAGTCCTCATGGGGGCTCTCTTGGGAGCCTCCTGGGACCTGTTGAGGGGGAGTCCTTGGGCGGCCGAGGCTCTGGTGCCAGGGCGCCGGGCGGCAAGGTTGCAATGCGACGGTGGCCTCGGAGCAGTCGGACAGCGGGGGGGCACCTCGCCCTTGCCCGGCTCACCTCCCTGGGAGGACCCCCGGCGTGCTCGCCTGGCTTCTTTGGCGGCCGCTCGCTGAGCACACGCTGTGACAGCGCCCCGGGCGCGCCCGCGCTGCTTTGCTGTGCCTTCTGGGCGCCTCCTGCTCTGCCGTGGCTGATCCCCTGGGTAGGCCCTCGACGAGTCAAGGCCAAAGGACGCCTACCGCATGTGTGCATTCCGAGAGAAGAAACGGCATAAGCACAAACTTTCGACGGTGCGCGCACGCGCGGATTTCCTGGATCCGCGCTGGGGCTTTCCGACGGCGCCTCTGGCGCCGCCCTTGGCGCGTTCCGCGCGCCAGGGAGGGGGTTCAGCGCTTATCCAAGAAATCCGCGCGGAGCGCGAACAGTTGATGTTAATGTATTTTTTTACAGATGTATCTCAGCCTTTGGGGTTTCTTCGGGAGCTCCGTGGTCATTCGGAGCCGCCAACGGAGCGAATCTGAGGCGTACAGGACGCGTGTAGGGAAGTTCGCAGCACCCAGTAACAGCACATGAGAGTAAGGAGGGTGCCTCCAGGGGTAGGGTCCTGTATGAGGGAGGTGGTGGTGGTTGTTTCCCTTTCCACAGGGGGAGGCCAGAGGAGAGATCCGGAGTGCCCTTGTCCACAGGGTGACCATCCCCCACGTCCACAGGGAAAACGGTAGGGAAAAATGGAAGGGAAGGGGAGGGCCCCCCTCCCCTGTCCTTGTCTTTTCTGTCCACCGGGCGGGGGCTGTGGAGGAAATGGAACTCTCCCTGTGCACAGGGTGGGCCACCTCTTGTCCCCCCCTGTCTACAGGGGGACCAGGTAGCGGGGACC